GTGTTGGGAAGAGGCAGATCAGAAGGAGCCTCATCCACCCATCTGGGAAGCTGGGATTTCCTTGAAGATGACGGGAATCATTCAAAAGTATAAACAGGGGAGTAAAATGCTCAAATTTGCTTTCACCTTGACTATATTGATAGTAGTGCTTGTTTGGGGTGGGGAGAGACAGGAGGCAAAGAATGTTGATGAGGCTCGGTGTGAGAGATGATGACAGCTGAAACTAAGGCACTATCTGTGTGGAGGGAGAGGAGGGGTCAGGTCTGAGGCATTTTTAGCAGCTAGAATGACCTAGTTACTGACTGGATTTAGGGCCAGTGGGTGTCCTATCAGCCTCTGGCCTGATTCACTGAGAGGAAGTATAGGGAGAGGAGAAGGTTGGGGAGGAGAGATGGGGAGTGCCATTTTGGACAGTTTGATTTTGGGTAATTTAAGGAGAGAAGTTCTGCAGAATATTTGATCTAGGGTCTGAAGCTCAGAAAAGAGATCTGGGACAGAGAAATATGGGTTTTCTCAGAAATAGCTGGTCACTGCAGCACGGGGTCTACCTGCCCAGGGAAATGAATTGAGGAGAGAATGGAGGGAAACACACAAACACATACAGCTTCCTCTTTCTGGAACGCCCGCTCCCTTTCCTTTGACCAACACATTCATCAAACCTTCCTGGAACCCATTTTGGAGAAGGTAGATGATTCGCCGGAGGTTATTTCTTCTTTCTATCCTCAAAGAGCCTGGCACATGACAAGACTCAGTCATGGTGGCCATGTGTTGCTGAGCTCAGTGGACAACTGGGAATCATCTGTTGCTTACCGGCATTGCCAGGACATCCAGACGGCTCATTTTCTCTTTCTTTGGAACAAAACGGGGCACTTCAAAGGTGCTCAGTCTGCAGTCCAGATGGCCATTGGTCAGGTATAAGGTGAGCTGAGTCAGGGCTAGCTGGTCACTATAGGAGATGTCGAGGTCTGTTGCCCACACCTGATTAAAACAGGAGCCATAGAAGTGAGGGTGACATCAGCAAATAGGAGAGAAAGCCCTCAACTGAAACCAAACCACATCAGACTACACTAAACCAGTGAACATGTGACTTAACGGAGCAGATATTTTCACTTCTGTTTCGACACTGTTCAACCGAGGGACAGAGCTTCCAATATGATTCCACTCAGAAGAGTCAAGGTGCTTGTGGGGAGTTCTAGAAACGAAACGCTTGGCAATGATTATCTAACGGAGAGGCCCAGTGCAGAAAGACTGGTGTTGACCTTGCTTTTTCTGCCTGTGGTTTGCCATTTCTAAGGTGCTGAGTGCAATGTTTTCTACTGAGAAAATGAAACTGGACTGGAGCTTCAGAGGGTGGGGAACTAAGTGGAGCAGAAAGAGGGGGAGCTGCATCCAGTGGGAAGAGTGAGTAAATGTAGAAAAGGATGGTTTCCCTGAATTTGGAAAAAGCAAACTGGGAATCTCAATATCAGCTTGAGGGAAACTTGTGGTTGGCCTGTAAGTCTGAGCTTTACCACCATTTTCCTGTGAGAATGCAGGAAGTCACTTTGCTGCCATGATGTCGGCTGTGAACGGTGATAACACCTACCCTAGCTGTACCACAGGGTTATTAGGAAAACACAATGATGAACGCAAAATGAAAGTACTTGGAGAACTAGATATACGTAGGCTATAAGTTAGTATAAGCTACTAGATGACCGAGTAATGGCCATTAATTTCTTTCACAAACATTTACTGAGCACCTACTATGTGCTGGGCTGGCAATAGCAAAAGTGGGCCATGTGCTACCTCGCCACCCTCTTGTGGCAGACATCCTTATTTGTTCTTGTCATTCTGTCCCCACTAAGTTCAGAAACAGCCCCAGAATCCTCAGTTCAATGCTCACGGCATATCCTTGTGCTAGGCATGGAGAATGAGAAGTAAATACGGTTCCTGCCACGGAGAAGGGGAGGACAGATACATATGTATCCAATTAATTACAACACACTCTAATGTGTGACATAATACGAGGATGGAATAAAGTACTACTGAAGTTAAAAGAAAGGACAGACTGGGTTTGCCTAGTGAAGCCATGGCTGCATCTCGGAGGAGGTGACATCTGAACTCCCATTTATCAAGTACCTACAGTGTGCCAGGTGCTTCACAAGCAACACCTCAGACATTTATAATAACCCAGAAAATAGGATCCCCCTGTCACAGATGAAGAAACAGAGGGTCAGAGTGGTACCTAAGTCCACACAGCTAGGAAGTGGTGCTGGGATTTGAATATAGTTCTGCCTGGCACCAAGTCTACCCTCTTCCCATTCCCTGTTGGAGGAGATGGCACTGATCCTGGCCCAGCCAATCCTCACCCTGTACCAATTTCTCAGTCAAATTAAAAGCTAAAGTTCTGGTGGATCAAAATATGTTCTTGTTTAATATAATCCATGCCTTGGAAATGTCTTGCAGAGAAAACACGAAGTATTGTATTTCTGGAGCACGCTGTAATTAGCAGTAATGCATTTTCACTGTAGGAAGTTGGACACTAACACGTTTTCAAGAAGACTTGATTAAACATTTTTTCCTCTTAGAAGGCCTACATGTGCCCCACACACCGACTTGGTATGTTAAAATACATAACACATCTGCCCTAGAGTGGACGCCTCTCAAACAAATCTAGCAGTGAGTGACTTGAGTAAGCATTGAATGTAAATGGCATCATTATAATGATATTAAGAGGTCAAGCTGTCAAGGCCTCTTGCTAAACTGAAGCTAATTTCCGGAGTCATATTCACACAGTAATGCCCTTTTATAATAGCAAATAAATCACATTTACAACAATTGTTAAAAACTAACTGCCAAGTATCTGTTGCAGCAGTAAATATCCTATTTGTCAACTTAAGTATTTCCTGCTGTATGGTAGTATAAAATGCAAATCAGATGGGGACAGCTATTTTTCCTTAATATGAGAGGATGAACTTACTGGTCTTATGTATCAGGCATTTTCTTTTCAGAGCTTCTATTTTGACATTTTAAAGTCCTTGATCAAAAGGAAACGTATGTAACAAGCATTATTAATATTGATGTTAGTAATATTACTGTTTTGGTGACAAGGATTTTAATAAGAAGGCAGCATGCTGTAGGGAAAGAGAACCAGAGTTGAAGAACCTAAATCTGGCCCTTACAAGCAGTGTAACCATGAGCGAGTTATTTGCTGCTGTTGTTGTTAGGTGCTGTCAAGTTGGTTCTGGCTTCTAGCATATGACAGAACGTAACACTGCCCAGTCCTGCACCATCCTCATAATCATTGCTATGTTCGAGCTCGCTGTTGCAGCCACTGTGTCAGTCCATCTCATTGAGGGTCTTCCTTTTTTTTGCTGACCTTCTGCTTTACCAAGCATGATGCCCTTCTCCAGGGACTGGTCCCTCCTCATAACATGTCCAAAGTATGTAAGATGAAGTCTCGCCATCCTTGCTTCTAAGGAGCATTCTGGTTGTACTTCTTCCAAGACAGACTTGTTCTTCCTTCTGGCAGCCCATGGTATATTCAGTATTCTTCGCCAACTCCATAATTCAAAGGTATCAATTCTTCTTTGGTCTTCCTTATTCATCATCCAGCTTTCCTATGCATATGAAGCAATTGAAAATACCAGGGCTTTGATCAGGCACAACTTAGTCCTTAAGGTGACATCTTTGCTTTTTAACACTTTAAAGAGGTCTTTTGCAGCAGATTTGCCCAATGCAAATTTGATTTCTTGACCACTGCTTCCATGGGCGTTGACTGTGGATCCAAGTAAGACGAAACTCTGGACAACTTCAATATTTTCTCTGTTTATCATGATGTTGCTTATTGGTCCTGTTGTGAGGATTTTTGTTTTCTTTACGCTGAGGTGTAATCCATACTGAAGGCTGCAGTCTTTGATCTTCATCAGTAAGTGCTTCAAGTCCTCTTCACTGTCAGCAAGGAAGGCTGTGTCATCTGCATATCGCAGGTTGTTAATGAGTATCTTTCAATCCTGATGACGGGTTCTTCTTCATATAGTCCAGCTTCTCCTATCATTTGCTCAGCATATAGATTGAATACGTGTGGTGAAAGGATACAACCCTGACACACACCTTTCCTGCGAGTTAGTTAAACTCTCTTCATCTCAGTTTCCTTAAGTGTAAAAGGAGCAAATGATAACACCTACCACACAGGGTTTTGAAGTAAAATAAAATGCATGCACATAAAAATGCCTTATAAACTATAAAGTTCAATACAAATGTTACTTATGATTACTAAACATGTTCTTTAAGAGGAGTAGAATCAAAGGAGGCACATTTTCAGTTGTCTGTGTAGCGATTAATGAGGCGTTGGTGGTTTACTGGTAGACGTCTCCCTATCCTCTCAGGAGACGGAGGTTAGATTCCCAACCAACGCACCACATGCGTAGCCACCACCGGTCTGACTGTGGAGGTCTTTGTGTTGCTATGATGCTGAACAGGTTTCGGTGGTGCTTTCTGACTAAGATGGACTAGGAAGAAAGGCCTGGTGATCTACTTGTGAAAATCAGCCAATGAAAACCCTATGGATCACATACAGTCTGATCCGTAACCCATCGTGGGGATGGCACAGGACCAGGCAGCACTTCATTCCATTGTGCATGGGGTTGCCATGGTTGGGGGCTCACTCAAACATATCTAACAATAGCACCGTAGCTAAGAGATTGTCCCATTTAATAAATGTTTTCCCCATATGTCATTATGTTCAGCCTCACAACAACTCATTTAACAGGCAGTTAGGTTAGGCTTGGGTTGGGAATACTCATATCTCCATTTTACCAACGAGGACAAAAACAAAAACAAACCTATTACCATGGATCCATGGTGACCCTATAGGACAGGGTGGAACCACCGCGTAGGATTTCCAAGGCTGTAGTCTTTACTAAGACAGACTGCCACATCTTTCTCCCATGGAGCGGCTGGTGGGTTCGAACTGCCAACCTTTCAAAGCCGAGCACTTATCCACCACGCCACCAGGGCTCCTTCCCGATGAGGATACTGAGGTCAAAGAGAGGCTTCACGGTTTGCCTGAGATCATACAGGGCATGGCCAGAACTTGGCCTTTCTAGAGCAGAAGTACTTTGCCTTCCCAGGCTGTTCCTACCCTTTGGTTCACAAAGGAAATAGTAAACTGCCTTAAGCCTTTTCCTCAACAGCAGGCTTGCCTGATTTGTTCAGATAATTGTTCTGTTTGCCACCTGGTTTTTCCATTGAAGATACTGCCTGAGGCATGCTTGTATTGTGTGTAGGGGTTCCTGTCTTCTCTCTAGACTGGTGGCCCTTTAAGGGAAGCTGCTAAGTCTGTGTCTCCCCCCAGCACAGTCTGGGGCGGCACTCAGCATGCAACAGGGCACATCAGCCGTCTCCAGCATCTCCAGTGCTGCCCTGTGAACTCTTCGCAATATTTCAGGAACAGGGTCTTGCTGGGCCTCCTGCAGCTGGTTTCAGGTAAAAAATCCAGCAAATATTCATCAAGCACCTCTTCTGTGCCCACCCTGTGCTTCCACACATATTATCTCATTTATTGCCATTTTTGATTTTGGCATTCCATGCTAACTTTAAAGCCTAAACTCTCTCTGCTCTGGATACCCCCATCATAACTTAGATGAGCAATGATGGTGACCTGTGCAAAGGCAGTACAACTGGGATGGAGAGGGGGAATGGATTTTACAACTGGTTACAAGGTGGCTTGACATAACTTGAAGAACTTGTAATGACTGGCTCGACAGGTTAATTGATTAGATGTGAGGGTGAGGGAAAGATAACACGGAAGGTTAGAGCTGGAAAGACCCTTAAAAATCATCTAATACAATCAGTTTACTTTATAAATGGAGCAACTTTGGCGTGAGAAGTAAAGTGGCTTGCCCTAGGTTACAGAGCCAGGTATTGGAGGTGCAGGAGGAGAACCCAAGTTGTCTCAGCGTCCTGCCACATATTTCTTGTTGATAATTCTTTGATTG